CATCTGTATCTGCTGCATCTTTGTCAGCTCCAGCCTCCAGCAACAATCGGACAACTTCCAAGTGGCCATGCTTGGCTGCAGTGTGCAAAGCCGTTGCACCATCTAAATTTGCTGCATCTTTGTCAGCTCCAGCCTCCAGCAACAATCGCACAACTTCCGAGTGGCTGTTCTGAGCTGCAATAATAAGATACAAATAATGTCCCTGATTCGGGTCCATTGGCTTTTGAAGTAGGTTTTCAATGTGAGCCAAATTATTCTCCTCGCAGCTTGCGAGCAGTTCGTTGTTCATGGTGTCATCAGGGGCACTCAAGGGCAGAATTACCAGCTGGACACTTGACAGTGTTGGTAGAGCCAAGTCATCCTCCAATTCTGCAAGCTCGGCACTGAAGAGTCTTTGTTGGAACCTTGAACACCCAACCTGAGCTGAAAGACGTCGCTTGAGGTCTCGAACCGATTGCCCGCTTTCCACCATATAATGCATCTCATCCTCATCAAGCTGAGCAATCATGTTGCCAGACACCGCGGTAACCTGCATTGTTGAGGTTTCAACAGCAAGCGTCGGCTTGAGCCATGGTCAATCTCCACATAGAAAGCAATGCCAAACATTGAGAACAAGCAATGTCTTCGATTCAAAAGTGAGGACAAACACCATGAAACATCGGCCGTCCTACACGCAGTCTACACTCCTCGACCCTGAATCAAACACACTGAAAGACACACAAAAGAAAAGCACTTGCTGACCTACCATGCGCGGATTTTTACGGCCTAAAGAAGGATGCAACAATATTTTAAGGCACATATACTACCCTCAAAAACTGCTTAAAATCACCCATCCATGTTGGCAACTCTTTCGGTCTGGGCTAGGAGACCCACATGAACCCGGCGCCAGGCATGGACCTGCAAGAATACCAGACCGGGGCGTGGAAGACTCCGGTTCCGGTATGTTCCGGTCTCGGAAATAGTTAATTAGACACCGACTGGCCCGTTCCCCTCCAAAAAGCACCTCAGGGGCGTCGTGGATCTCGCGAATGAGCCTGAGAAGAAGTTCCGTGCGGGAGGAGGGTGGAGAGTGAAGGGGGAGTGTTCTCCTGCGTGGAGAGCAGCTTCGCTTCGTGACGGAGCGTCCGACGATCCTACGGTTCACCCCGCACAACCCGAACTCTTTGTCGCACAGGTTGACATGTGAGTGGCACATTCCACCACTGTACCCTTTTTTTGGTGGAGTGAGGGATTGAAGAAATATACCGTAGATCAACAGAAACCAGGAACAAGTGCTGCCCCCCGCTTTGATGAGCTCCTGACTGAGGGACATGGATCGTGTTTCAACTAAGACAAAGACCTAGTCCGTCCGTGGCTGCCGAAGAGAAGGCCCGCTCTTTGACGCCCCAACTTTCCTAAGGAACCTCGTCGATAGGGGCACCAGGGAACCCTGCGGTGATCCCCGATCTTGTTGGGGCGTTAAGAAGGGCTCAGGGGACCTGCCCAGGTCTGGGCAAGCCCAGGGTCCATGCTGGCCATGTAAATTCACATTGAAACCAACAAAGAAGAGAGTCTCCGTGGATGTGAATGGGATTTGTTTAAAACATGCATGCACACAGTGCACACATAGGAAAAAACTTCTGTAACCCACGGAGCTCTGCAAAGCGTCACCCACAGCGGAGCTCGAGCTGCTCCGCTCTCCCCTTGCGCCAAGTTGCTGGTACCACACGGCTGGATGGCAACTGGGTGCTGGAAGCCCCACGGAGGTGAAACAAAGTCGCAGGAAACCTTGTACCTGGCGGCTTCGCTCTCTCATCCGCTGATCTGCACCGTGGGCTCAACAAACCGCCCCCACAATTCTAAGTTGTTGTTAAACCACTTCAGTCTGTCGTTATTCGGGGGGGCATCACATCGACAACCGTGGATCCCAAGCGCAAAAAAAACATGGGTTTACTATAAGGATTGTATACTACAACACCAGGTCACCCATTTCTTTAATGGTCTTGAAACCCTGGGGAGTGGATTGGGACAAATATATTGACAAATCTACCGGAAATGATGGCTTTCACCTTCAAAACTTTTCCCTTAAAACAAGTTTGGTTTCATGCCCTCCAGGCTCTGAGGCTCAGACTGATATAGGAACTGTCCTAAAAAAGCCTTCGGGATTTGAGCCAAGAGTTCTGAGAGGGTTATAAAGGTCCATAGGTCCTTGAAGGAGAAGCAATGCCCCAGTATTCCTTGCCTTGCTGATTCCCACATATTTCATCATATTCCCACACACCCACCGGTGAGCCATCCAGACCTCCCCCAGGCGCCAGGTGAGCTGATTGGAGGCACAGCTGGACTGGCGGAAGAAGCTGCGCACCTTGGGCAGTTTCTGCCGCGGGGCAGTTGCGGTGCGCACAGCCCCGGACAAAAAGAACCCTACAACACAAACCCTATGGATCCACAGTAACGAACCTGAGGTACTGTGATTGGAGACTATTTACAGGCGCCAGGAGGGTTCAATTACCTTCTGAGTCCTGAAACCTGGTTTTGCTGGGTCGGACCTGAAGCGGGTTGACCAGTGAACCGAATCCATCTGTTGGGAGTGGGGAGGCCAATCAATCCCACTGAAAGGTTCAAGGACTGCTTCAAGGACCCCTACGACTCCAACTCTATCCTCAGGTTCGGTGGTTCGACCCTCCTGGCACCTACCCCAATTGCAGTTCAAGGTTATCCACCAACAGTTTCAGCGCCGCGGGCGGTGCTTGGAAGTCGTTGAGCAACGTGCCGAGCGTTCACAACCCGTACGCCATGTACTCCACTCGGATCAGGAGAACTCTTCGAAGGGCAGAGCGCAGAAGCACCAATCCCACAGAAATACAGGGATTGGCTCTTCGCCCCCTGCAAATTCCAAGTCCATAATCAGTATAGTTGGTAAGTTAGATTTACCAAGCCCTACATAGACTCTTCAGAACCTATGGTCGAAGCCACCCTGGGCTCCACCATAGCCATCAATACCTTCCCAGGCTCCATCTCCACAGCCCAGGCGCCACGTCCTCTCGCATCTGCAGCGCCTCGGCCAACAGCTCTTGGTGCCCGGCATAGACCTCTCCACGGCGAACCAAAGGGAAACTGAGACCGAACCGGGCTGCATGACACTTATCGGGTTGATCATGGTTTACATGGAGTGCACCTCTTTGGGAGGGAGAAGTTCAAGGGTCATTGAAGTTGCCATGCCATCAACTTCCATGATGATTTTTCAGTGATTGCCATTGCGACATGAAGATCCTGACTTCGCTGGGGGAATTCATGATGGTGCTTTACTGTGTTGACCTGCAACACTGCAACCCTTCCCTTCCCTGCCTGGTACCATGCTTGCACCGGAGGGCCCTCACGGCCCAGCAGGGACCTCGGCAAAGGGCCCAGGACCAACATCAACACTCCATGTGACTGGCATTGCTAGCTTGGATTAGGGTCATCAGTGGGCCAAATGTATGAAACTATTCCACACATGGATGGTCTGGGTATGTTCTCGTCATCTAAGGTCCCTGAAATGGAAGTGGGACACGAGCCCCCGGAAGTGCCCGGAAGACAATCATTTATACCTCTGGAAAGGGCTGATGTCTGGCTTTCATGCTTGTCTGGGAAGCGGTATTCTCTCTTGATATTGCCACCATAGTGACAACACTAGAGGTAGAGTGTGGCGATCTCCATTGTGTTAAACATTCACATCTGGATCATTGTATCTTCCAACTCCTTCATCAAAGCAACTCCTGCTCATGGAATCTCCAAAACCATCGATCCTGAGACCCTGAGGCCACCCATATGGTACGATTAAAGGTGCCGACCGCGCCCACGCCTCCGCTCCGACCCACCACCGCGCCCTCCTTCCGCACCGAGGAGCACCGGAACACTGGCGCCCCCCGGTAGGGGAACGAGGATCCGCTTCTGTTGGGCCTCGCTCGCGGCAAACGGAGGAGGGTCGCAAGCGCGTCTGCCGCGTCTGCTGTCGCGGCGATCGATCCAAGTGGTCCCAATACAGATTGCACAGCTACATCAGATGTCAGTGTCTTTATGCAACCCTACAGGTCAAGGACCTCATGTCAGGTCAGGTCCGAGCATACAAAAACAGTACTCCTCTGAGGTTTTCAGGACCAGGTTTGACGCGCTTGTGTGGACTCAAGGTGTATATAATATGTCATATTCCCTAGAAGTCCAAAGACAAAACATATCTTGTGCACCACCACAGTAATTCAAGGAAATCCTTTTTTGGATGACCCTCTAAATACGTTCTTGGACTCCCATGGCATACAGTAATGCAAGTCATCCAAAAAAATCCACGACCTCCAGCGCCCCGGGCCAGCTCAGAGAGGACTTCAGTGATATGACGCCCGCATTGAGCTAAGCAACCTGTGGGAAGCGTCGATGCCAACGGTATATCAAGCGTCTAAGAGATTCTAAGAGAGCACGGTGCCTGCGCTTCAGCCGTTGGAAGGCTTGCACAGTGCCTTTGGTGTTAACTCTTGAAGGGACAGGCTCAATTTTTCAGGAGGGGACAATCACTTAGTAACTGGCTCCCTCAGATTCTGTGGACCAAAAGGCTAACCCTTGTCCTCCAGCTTGTTGAGCCCTACCGCCCTACCGGTTAGTATCTTGCAGGCCTTTCCATCCATCTCTAAAAGAGTGATAGTTCTTGTTGACCGACGGCTCTACAGGTCCAACCTGGGATGAGATAGGGCTTGCCCTTGGCATCCTCAATCACAACAGGACACAAAGGAGCCAGTAAACACCGATCAGTTGGAGGTGATTCACCTGGGACACCATAAATCTTCCAGTCCCATGGAGTGTTTTTGTGTGGATTGGATCCGGATGGATGTAGACTCTTATATAGTTACTTCAAGCCCAGGACTGAATAGATTTTTACACTCCTTTAACACTGGAGGGGTTCATTACTCAAGAGTATCTCAACAGTATACATTACAGGGACCCGGCCATATTTCTACACTCCCCAATTTCCCAGTAGCGAACCCATAGAGTCAATATGGTCTGATTCCCCCACTAGCATGCAAGGTTTCCAGGAGAGCTTGCTGGCTTGGCATTTCAGAGCTTTCAGTTTTCGACGTTGAGTTCCTTGGTGGGGAGGGGGTGTATTTAGTGACGATAAGCAGTGAGCCCACTTCTAAAGAGACATGGTTCAACGGTGCCCCATTCCAGGCCATGAGTCATGAGAGGCCAACAAACTATGGAACGCCAGGTAGGGGTTACACAAATGCAGCTCACTTCTTCCACAGCGGCTTTGCTGCTCCATGACCCCCTCCACGATAGAAAACCAAACACACCCGTTTGGCCTCCAGTCGTACCTTCGTTTCGTTTCGGTGGGACTGGGGTGGGTGGGTGCCAGGAGATTCCAGTCATACCGAACCTGAGGAGGTACGACTGGAGGTGTAGGGTCACAACTGATCACAAGTTCAATGACATGGTCATGGAACATGGCCCCGGAAAGTCCAGGAGGGGGGTCCAGTCATACCTGGAGGTGTAGGGAAATGCACCAGCTGAGCGGCCCAGGTCCGATTGCCAGTCGCCCGGAAGCTGTGGGGTCCTTGGTCGGTCACGGGTCCGAACCGCTTCCTTCTCGAAGAAAAAGCCATGACCCAAACACGAGCTGTCTGGGACTGCCATGGAATGCATACATTGGGGTGGTTGACCTGGGGTCAATGTGCATATCTGCCAGTCCCATGGAGCGTCCTTCAGGAGGTGTTGGGTACGGAGCGGCGGCCGGATCATTCGCATCCAAGCGCGAGTGTTCATCAAGTTTTCGATTTGGGCGCCAAGGCGTTTTCCATGGTGTTCATGAAATCAAAAACAAAGTTACCTAGCGCAGGACCGGTATTACTTGGACTTGAACCAGCGGTTACAAAACGAAGCAACTAATGATGTCTCTGGATGTCTCTGTCTCCAGCAAACCTCATCGCGCCGAGCATCTGCATCTCAAAGTCACGGATGAGAATGGTGAGGCTCGGGTTCTTGCAAGCCAAGGCTGTTGGAGCGACCTGAGTGTGGAAGAACCACCGGCCAACCATCAGACTGGGTGTGCTCCTAAAGAACCACTGGGTGTGCTCGGGACCTTTTGGGGGTCTAGGGACCTTCCTCTTCGAGCAGTCCATGTATTTATTTGGGGGGAGGTCTCCATATCACCCCAGGGTCCAAGTGCTTTCGAAGGTACCTGGACCCTCCTGGCACCTGGACCCTACAGTGTCTCGGCTCGACGGTCGATTGGTACGAATAGTCTCTGAACTTTCAATTGCTGAATAATGCCGACGCATCCTGAAAGCGGGTTGAAAGGCTGTCTGAGGATATATGATTATGATATAATACATTCATACTCATCCTCATCCTCTGCACTGGCTTCAAACTCATGGGCTGCGATGATAGCTGCGATCTCATATTTGTTTTACGACATGAGAACAATGAAGCTATTAGTAACAAGTGCATCGCTACTAGGAGCAAGTGCCTTACTAGTAGTAACAAAAGCTACTAGGAACAAGTGCCACGCTACTAGTAACAAGTGCCTTA